ACCTTTCTGAAATCTCCATGTACCCCACCCACACCTCCCAGTTCCCACCCCATCCCTGTCTTCTCCACCCTCACCCCCATCCCTCTCTCCTCCCCTCTCACCCCTATCCCTCACCCCCATCTCTCACCCCCATCCCTCACCTCCCTCTCTTCCTCCCATCCTGTCTTTCCATCTCCCCCGAACGAATAACGAACGACAGAAGAAACAGCCGTGAACAGCTTGTTTGTTTTAGATTTCTGAATTGTTTTTTCGGATTATTTTCATCGTATCGTTGCTGACTTGATTTCTGACGCTCGTACGTAATACATACATATATACAAACATACACACATGCATACATACACGTACACAACGCTCACACAACACACACAACACACAACACAAACACACAAAACACAAACACACAAAACACAACACACCGATGTGCCTCATGACACAGCACCGTGGTAACACACAACACTGTGTTATTCTCTCCCTACACACACACATCACGAGCAGACAGACAGTCAGTGGAGACCGCGTCTGGTAGGTCCTGCTTCAATCATTGGTTTTGTGTCGATGTGCTTCTCCCAACAAACAAACGAACAAACAAACAAACAAACAAACAAACGAACCAACAAACAAACAAACAAACACATCACAAACAAACATTTGCAAACCGCTGCTGGCAGGTGTGGGTCCTAGCCTGCTTCATTTCTTCTCCCCTGTGGTTGATTCTGCCATTCTGTCTTCCTTTTCTCCCAGCAATAAAATAAATCACCGTTATTGTGTAGATAAATGTAATTCTATTTTTGTTTAGTTTTAATCCAAGTTTTACGTCACTTGCAATACAATCAGGTCATAGAAGTGCCGAAGATTAGAGGTGCTACAAGAGAGTAACAAACACAAAAAAGGAGGAGAGATAAGGACGGTAGATGTTTGATAGGAAGGAAGAAGCTAACCACACCAGAGCACACCCGCCAGCCACTCAATTGTTTCACTCAAACAAACAAACAAACAAAGAAACGAACAAACAAATCACAAACAAACA